CAAAAATTAAAGAAATTATAAAGAAATACGTTGAACAACTTTATGCTAACACATTGGACAACTCAAGTGAAGGATGTTTTGGACAAATTACCAAAACTTATGAAATGGGAAATTTCAGTAGGTCAATAACAAGTAAAGAAATTAACTAGAAAATAGAATCTTTTCATAAAATAAAGCCCAGGGCCAGATAGCTTCACAGGCGGCTACCAGACATTAAAAGAAGAAATAATACCAATCTTTTACAGATTCAGAAAATAGAAGAGGAAGGAATACTTACCAGCTGTATACTATGAGGTTTTTATTACCCTGATATCTAAGCCAGACAAAAACATCACAAGAATGCCGCAGACGAATGTCATTCATGAATGTAGATACAAATCTAGTGATATGTAGACAGGTCTTAGGTATATGACCAAGAGAGATTTGATATTAGAAAACCAGTGAATACATTTCAAAGGACACAAATCATCTTAAAGGATGGAGTAAAGGAATAGAAGTGCATTTTCTCAGCCTGATTAAGGGCACCTATATAAAAAAAATATCTACAGCTAATGTCATACTTAATGGTGAAAGAATAACGATTTTCCTTCAAAGATCAGAAATGTCAAAGGCAACCACTCTCACTCCTCTATTCACTATTGTACTGTAGATTCTAGCCCTGTAGTCAAGCAAGGGGGTGGGGGGGGAATAGCATCCAGGTGAGAAAGAAATGAAATTATCTTTATTTGCAGATGACATGACTATGTCAAAAATCTTAAGGGATACACACATAAAATATAAGAGCTACTGAATTCAACAGAGTTGCAAGATAGAAGATCTATATGCAAAAAATCAGTTGCATTTCTATATATGCAATATAGCAGTGAACTATGTGAAATAAAGTTCCATCCATAGCATCAAAATGGTTAAACTAGGAATCAATTTAATACTAAAGTGAGATTGCACATTGAAATCTACAAATTAAAGGAGATCTAAATAAAGGATGTGATATTCCATATTTATGGATCAGAAGACTCATTAACATGACCATCCCTATCCTAGCATGCTTTGTTAGAAGAATGAACAAGCTGATCCTAAATTTTTTATGGAAATGCAAAGAACTCAGAATAGTCAAAAGAATGTTGAAAAGTAAAAACAAATTTGGAGAACTTTATAGTTTCTGATTTTAAAACTACAAATCTACAATAATCAAGATAACATGTTATTGGTATAAGGATATATCTAGATCTATCAATTGATCTATCGATCAGTCTCAGCGAAACATCTGAGAGCACTAAATTAACGCTTACATTAATGGTCAACTGGTTTTCCTTTGAGGTGCCACGGTAATTCAATGGAAAAAAGATTGCCATTTCAACAAATGAGGCTGGAAGAACTGGATATCCAATTGCAAAAGGATGACTTTAGACCCTTCATCATAATGGATCTTAGAGCTAAATATTAGACCTAAAACTATCAAACTTAGAAGAAATCATAGGTGAGAATATTCATGACCCTGGTTTTGACAAATATTTAGATTTCTTATGTATGACACAAAACTACAATCCATAAAAGATAAAATTGATAAATTAGACTTCATCAAAATTAAAATCTTTTGTTAAGCCACTGTTAAGAAAATGAGTAAACGAGACACAGAATGGGTGAAGATATTTGCAAATCATATCGATAAAGGATTGGTATTCAGAATATATAAAGAACTCTAACAAGAAGATAGTCCAAGAGCAAAGAATTTCAGTAAACATTTCTCTAAAGAAGATACACAAAATGGCCAATAAACACACAAAAATGGAAATGCTCAACATCCTTAGTCATTAGAGGAATGCAAACTACAACTGAGATTGGACTTTCCACCCACCAGCATGACTGTAATCCAGAAAACAAACAGGCAACAACAAATATTGGTGAAACGAAGAAACTGAATAACAGTTTAGCAATTTCTCTAAATTTAAATTTACCATAAGTCCCTAGGTTCATAGGAATATACACATAAGAACTGAAAAAAAAGTCTACAGAAATCATGTAAACTAGTATTTATAGCAGCTTTGTTCATAATAGCCCCCAAATGGAAATAACCCAAATTTACATCAACCGGTAAATGGATAAACACAACATGGATAAACACAATGGAGCACTACTCAGGAAAGAAAATGAACTGATACTACAACATGGATGAACTTCAAAAACATGTAAAATAAAAGAAGCCAAATGGAAAATGCCATGTATTATATGATTCCATTTATATTAAGTGTTCCTCCCAAAAAGGGAAAACTAGAGATGGAAAATAGATTACTGATTGCTGGGGCCTGGCACTAGGAATGGAGAACATTTACTAGTGGACACTAGGAGTCTTTTGAGGGTGAGAGAAATGTTTAAAATTAGATTGTAGTGCTGGTTGTGCAACTCTAAATTTACTAAAATGAAGTGTTCAATAGGTGACTTTAAATACATATATAAATTATATCTCAATAAAGCTAATAAGAGACTCCTGAGATGAGACCTGAATTTTAAAAGGAAGGAAAGAATTAATTTGTGGTTCTGAGTTTGGACTGGTGCCTGAGAAATGTGTGTTTCTAATACGCTTCTGATGTAACTTGTTTTAGAGGATAGGGTCTAGACCAAGAGCATTCTATTTTAGTATGTCGACATTCTTTTGAACGAGGTATATTGCCAAGAGGATTGTGATCTCCGCAAGTGCATCTTTGTGCTCTGGGTCAAATGCTGAGAAATACTGACAGGGCTAAAATTGTAAAAAACTAAAGGTTTCTCTTTTGGGTAAGAAAACTGGTGGAAACTAGAAGGTCATCATAAGTGGACACTCTTGTTGAAGAGCTTGACAGCTCTGGGTACAGGCTGAGACACTCTGGGAGATGCTTGTACATAGCCTTTGAGCACCACTGGTTAATGAGCCAGTTCCTGCTGTGAGGTCTGCTGGTGACCAGAAGCTAAAGGAAGAAATTTGGCCCTGGTGGGCCCTTCTGATGCTGATAGTATGTGATTCTGCCTGAAGACCAAGGGGGAGAGGCTCGATCTGGAAGAGGGGTATAGGTCCATGAGAAAGGTAGAACCAGAAAGGGGGTGTGAAAAAAAAAAGTGAAACATCCGAGTGAAGTCTTGTGTACTTTTTTACTCTTGATAGTTCTTTTCTGGAAATCTTATGTTTTTGGCCAATTTAACAGGGAATTAAACATATCTGCCATGCTTTGGGGCCTGGTGGCCCTAAGAGGGTGAGGACAAGTGGGGAGGTGGACCCAGTCCACCTAAGCTGGGCCAAGAACCCTACCCGGTTACTCTTCAGAGTCTCATGCAAGGAAGAGGGGCTTGGGAAGTCCCTTAAACCAGATTGAGAATACTTTCTAGATAGGGAGCTAGAGAATGAGTTGAGCTGTGTGGGTAAATAGCCCTGTACATGTAAGGAGCTCTTGAGGGTGAAGTCCCTTTACACACACACACACACACACACACACAGGAGTGTAAGGAGGAGTGTCTGTCCCACAGCCTCCACTGTGTTCCCCCAGATCTTCCTGGAGGAGGGGGCACTGTCCCTGCTTTGCCATTGGGGTCCCTGGAACAGTCATCCACCCTCAGCACACAGCATTTATGCAAATAGATATTTCTCTGGTGAGTGGGTGGCACTAAAATGAATGCTCTCTACTTTGCTCACTGTTGTGATAAAAACAAAAAACCAAAACACATGGCCAAACAGATCAAAATACAGTCTTGATGAGATTTAGAGTTTAGCGACATTCTATTCATCTTATTTCTGAGATTTAAAAAGGGGCTCCACATGCAAGATTAATACTGCTCACAGCTCCTCTCGATTTTTTTCTTATTGCCTATAAATTACTACTTTTTTAAGAGGACAGTGAAGGAGGCTTTGGCAGTGTGCTTGACGGACTGTCACCAGTCCAACAGGATTTCCACTTAGCCTTGGCTCTGCCAAATGTACTTACACAACCGACCCAGTAGGTCAGGCTAGTAGGGCAGTGTCCATGCGTGTCCGTCTTCGATCACGGGGACACGGGAGGAGACAGCGGAGGGCTCTGAGGATGCCAGCCATCATTTAAATTGCACTGCTCCCTACGGCTCCGCCTTTCCCCTGAACCTGCCCCGCCCCTTCCCTCTCCAGAGCACGCACAGTAAAATTTCCTTATACACCTAGAGTTTTTGTTTTGTTTCCCAGGGTGGGATGCTTTCCTATTTACATGTTTGATGTTTTGTTTATCATGAACTTTTTGGCATTAATTTTGAATTTTTAAAATGTTGTATTTGAATTAGAGTGTTTTTCTTGATCGCGGAGTTTTTTGATGCTCCCTTAAATTCTGCACCCACGCGAGTGCCCCTTTGCCCGGGCAGGGAGCTGAGACTCTGCTCCAGGCCCAATCCCAGGTCCACCCACAGTGCCGGGCAGGTTATTACACTGCTTTTCCGAGTAAAAAGTTCTTTAAGAACCTACCTACCCCAATTACTTGCAAGACTCCTGGGATCCTCCCAGCCAGGGCGCAGGATGTCACGGCAATCCCGGGAAAGAACCGGGAGCGTCTCCCTACTGCCCCACGCTTGCCCCCTCCAGGCCGAACCGCCCTCACCCTCCCTGGCCCGCAGGACACCTGTGGCAGGTGGAAAGGGAAGAAGCTCAGGGTGGAGGTTAGGAAGCTGGGGCGGGGGTGATGGAGACGCCGGGTCACCGGCAGAGGGGTGGGTCGCAAAGCAGAGAAGAGCGCGGCGAGACTGGAAGCACGGAGGCAGCGTGCGGGCAGGTACAGAACAGAGAGCCGCGCGGAAAGTAGGGGAATGGGAGGTGGAGGAGGCGCGGGGGAGGGCGTGGGGCACTGCGCAGGCGGGGCAGGGCGGGGCGCAGGGGAGAGGAAAGCATCAGGGCGGAAGGGTACCCAGGCGACTCTGCCCCCTGGAGGCAGATGGTGCGTTGTAACTGCCACCGCTACCTGTGGGATAGCTAGTGTCTGTGAGTGTCCCCTCCCTCTCCCTAGTGCGGACGCTTCTGTCCCAGCTGGAGGCCAAGGCCCGTGCCGAGGCCGGCGAGGGTCTTGGGCAGCCCGGGCGCCCGGCGGTGCGAAGGGAGGCCGGACACCGCCGCCTGCTTTCAGGTGTCCTCCGTCGTAGGGGTCCTCGCACGGGCCATGGTGGATGTGCTGGGCGGGCGGCGCCTGGTCACCCGCGGCGGCGCGTGCGTGGAGGCTGAGGCAGCACTACAGAACAAGGTGGTGGCGCTGTACTTCGCCGCGGCCCGGTGCGCGCTCAGCCGCGACTTTACGCCGCTGCTCTGCGACTTCTACGCGGAGCTAGTGGAGCTAGCTCAGCCGCCCGCGCCTTTTGCGGTTGTTTTGGTGTCGGTGGACAGCAGTGCACAGGAGATGCAAGACTTCATGCGCCAGCTGCCGGGCACCTGGCTGGCGTTGCCCTTCCAGGACCCGTACCGGCAGTGAGTAGGGTCCGGGCTGGGGCCGCCGACGGGTCCCCCAAGTCCCGCGCCTGTCCCTGTAGTCGCAACCCTCCCCTCCCCGCCCCCCAAGCTGATGTGCACGCGGGTACATGGTAGTTTCTAGGCAGCTTTCCAAGGAGGCTCTAGCAGGTGGCGGACCGAAGTGTCGGCATCCCCGGACCCTGGCGCACACCACTCTCTGGCTTGGAGGGTCTGCATTTCTCACGAGCTCCAGTGATGCTGTGGTGCGCAGAGCCCACCCTAGGAACCGCAGTCCAGGACGCCCCGCCCCCCTGCACAGGGAAAACCCTGAGTCTGAAGGGCAGGAGAGGGGACCCCGGAGGCCACTCTGATCAGAACCCAAAACCGTGGAGTGACTGACCAGGCCAGCAGTGCAGGGGCTGGAAGAGAGGTGCGGGAGGCGGGCGCAGGGGGGCGAGGGGTCCGGGCGGGAGGGGAGGGCGGCAGGACCTCCGGGGCTGGAGGAACCCAGTTTGGGCCATGCTGCAGTTTTATTTTTACTGCCAATGACTGTAATTTTCCCAACTGTAAGGGCAGTTCCTGCTGCGACAACTATAAGGGAAACCAAGTTCCAGGACTTCTGCAGAGGCAGATGTCAGAGACGGCAGAAATCCTTGCTGTGAAGGATATCATCCAGCCCTTGTGTTAGAAAAGAAATGACAGGGCGGAGCCCCTCAGCTTTGTTGGATTTCAGTTTGTGAATGAACTAGAAATTGACCGTACTTCTCCATTGGCTGTGGTCAAGGCTCCGCGGAGGGGAGGAGAGAGGACTTGGAGGGAGGATGTGGGAGGACTTGGAGGCGATTTGGCAGAGGGCAAGTATGGCATGACCCCTAATGTCCAGCACATTGGGATCTCCTGTGGTGTCAGCGTCCAGACTTGGGTTTAATTGCACTTCACAAAGTACATGACCCCACCAACCCCTTAACAGACAGAAATTTTGCGCTTTGTTTTACAGGGACACATGCCACATTTCTCTGAGGAATTATTATCCAGTTGTCGCATTAACCCCCAAATTAAATTAATTGTCCTGTGATGACATTCCTCTGGACAATTAAAAATTGAAGCTAACTTTAGAAGTTCTATGGAAGTGTAACTCTTCCCTCAACACTTGCTTTCCATGATACTGAGGAAGAGATGAGGTGGGCAAGCCTGCTTCCTCGGGCCTCTCACAGCAGGACTAGGAAAGTCATACAGATGATAAGTCCAAATGATCAAGATTCACTTGGCAGAAGGATTTATTATAGCATCAAGTCTAGTGCTGGTTGTAAAATATGTTTTTATTTGCTTAGTGCTTAAGTTATGCACAGCTTTTGAACCCACTTAGTTTTGAAAGTGACAATAATCAAGCCAAGAGCTCAGACTTCCACAGAGTGCAGCTCTAGGATTCACTTGGGAGACCAGAGGCAAGGCATTAATTGCTGGGTATAATGATGCATCTCAGATGCACAAGGACTACGCTGACACATGAATTCAGAGCCATGTCAGGTAGTTGTATACCAGCATTTGGTGTCTACTGCCCATTTCACAGATGTGCCATTGAGGCGCAGAGGCTGGTGCCTCTGGCCCTAGGACCCATTTTTCTGCTCTGGCTGCCTCCTTTCTGAGAGCCAAAGACTGAGAGCCTGGAGGAGAGCCATCAGGACGCCCTCCCCTTCCCTAGTTATCTGGTCAAAGCCACTGAGGTTCCCTGCAGGCAGCTGAGCAGCTCAGGGCCCAGAAAGCCTCCTTGGGCCATCTCCATGGGCATCCAACCTCTATTTTCCTTTTGGGGAAGTTAGCTCCTTGTCCTTACCCCTTTCCAGATTGCACTCCATTAAACCTGTCATTGCTGTTTCTTTGTTAGGAAATGAGATATTTTGTGGGAATTCTTGGTGCTGTTTTCTCAATTCTGCTTATTCTGTCCCGAATTTATAGAATTAGATTAGGAGCAAAATGACAGTAACCACCAAGGAGAAATAAAAAATGTAGGGAGCATCTGGGCAGAAGTGGGGGAAGTTCCTAATGTGAACAGAACACAGCACTGTGCTCGATGCTATGGGAAAGTGGGGCCAGGGCAGTAATCTCCTGAGCCCCCTCAGTCATGGTGAGGGACCTATGCTGTCTGTCTTCCCTCAGCGGCTATCTATTGGATTACTGCTGACTGCCCAGTCGTAGGAAGAAGAGAGGAAATCACCACAGAGCCTCCACAGGGTCACCCTGGCATAGCTGGAGGTGGGACTGCTGCAAATGCCCCTGCAGGAAAAAAATGCCTGGAGTCGCTCACTTTGTCCTCAGAGTTGCTTAGATCTTGGCTTTGCAGCAGCCCACAAAAAACCACCACTACTACTACTACTGCCACCTTTCTGTCTAAACAAGCAAATGTTCACTGACATCCCTCCAACCAGAGGCAGCATGAGTGAGAGGAGGGACTGACCTTCCAGGCCTGAACATGAGGACAGCATTGAGGCCATCCTGCCCAACTTCCTTTCCTTTATTTTGGGCCCAAGAAAGAAGTAACAACTAAATTTGCCA